TAAGGGGCCGCCAACTCGTTACATGCGGCCGATCGCTTTCAGGGCTGACGTAAACGTATTTCTTTTTGATTACGTGTTCTAGTTCTGACAACGAGGGTTTTGCGGTAGCTACTCGATTTGCCACGTCGCTTCTTAAATTAGATGTCTCGATGGTAGGGTCGGGCAATTGATCGATTAACTTACCGATTAATCGATCCATGTTTTAATCGCGATTTATTTTTTTTAACCGGTTATTCGGTAAAACTTTGTCGAATTAAAAAAAAACAAGTAAAAATGAAACGCTTTTATTCGGTTGACAACTTAGAAGAACCAAAAGTGGAAGGGACCGGAACAGAAAGACAGAAGGCGTTGTCTCAAACTCAACAGAGTCTTCAAGAAAATGGTAAAGCTACACCAGCTCGCCTGAGCCATCGCAGTCTCATTTCTACGTAATCGTTGAAGCAATACTTAACCACGCCGTTTCTACTTTTAATAATAACACCCTTTGGAATCAGCGTTGGGTTGTACGAACGCTCGCACGCATCACTTATAAATTATCAATTAGGTATAGCTGTGCGTGCAACAAAAAAAGATCGGTTTTTCTGTTACTTAGTTAGAAGGCACAGGTTTCGAGGTCCGCGGTTTTTATTCGCAATCCTTTTCATGAAACTACATACGACTGTTAGGGACTTTCATAGCGTGGAGTCACCATCTCCGAGGGGAGGTGACTTTGCAATTAATACTTAGCGGTACACAGCAGAATCATCTCTGCTGTGTTTTTTTTTTTCTAGAGACCTCGAGGGAGAAGGGATCTACTCCCCTAAGATAAGGAAGACCTTCGAAATTTAAGTTTGCTCGTGAGAAAATAAGGTAACGTGTTTTTTCTTCGCATGATGAATCAAAAATTTTGAACGAGACTGTTTTAGCTACCTCGGTAAAGTTATGTTTTTAAAGTATTTCTTTTCTGTGTCAGTGCGGCCAGTGCCCCAAACGTGTGTTTTATGTCGCTAATATTTTAGACCTGCACGTAGCTTGAAGAGGCTCGTCAAAAATTTCTTCCGAATTTGTTCTTTGAGAAAGAAGTTTGTAATCATTTGTTAATCCTACAAAACTAAATTTTATAGGTTTTTTATATTTATTTAAAGTCGTATATTACTGTAGAAATAAGGACAGCATGCTCTAATAACAAAAAAAGATATTTGTTTTTAAATTCTGGTCAGAATAGTAAAACCTTCAGTGAAGCGGTCTTTTGACTTTTTATAATTATATCCATACATTATTATTCCTCTTTCTTCATAGATGTGTTTACATGACAACGGATATTACTGCTGTAAAGAGAGTTTAAAGCTTACAAAGGTCAGAATACATGAATCAGCAATTGCACAAGTGCAAATAAGGCCACACCGAGCTGCTTGTGAATAGCTAGAGAAAATAGCCAAAGCCAACACTGGCCAATACGAATAGCGTCTACCGTGATCGCCTGGTCAGTCTTTATATTCACTGTCTTCGTCTTCCAGCTTTTTATGCATTATATTTTGTTTTTATTATTGAGCTGGTTGTTTTGACTGCCCACCGTTGTAATCAAAGACCACTGTTTTATTGTTTTCTTGGTTTTTGTTTCGTGCTTTCTTGCTTCTTTGCCAACAGAATCCCAATTTGTCTCTCTTTCTCGAAGATAATCCGGAGGTCCATGAATAATCTAACACCAGGCTGCCCCGATCGGCTCGATCCGCTAAGCCGGCGCCGGAAGTCGAAGACGAAGCCGTAGCCTCACGATCCCTGGATTTGCTGCGCGGAAACTTTTTTTTTTTTTTTTTTTTTTTTTTTGCATCCGCATTTATACCGCGTCAGCTTTATTTGGAACCCCGAAAATCCATTTAAAAAATGAAGAAATCTGACAAAAGGTTTCTAGAGTAATGAAGGTGTCATGAAACCAGTTGTTCATGATGCCTGTGCTCTGCAGCCTGAGTCCCCCAACATATTATTATTATTTTTTTTATTCCAAGAAAATTATAAAGCGTATCTCTCAAATTTCGTGAATAACGTAGTATGCAATCCCCGATGCCGATAATTAGATATGGAAGACACGGCATCAAGAACCGTTTAATGAGCCCTTTAACGTGTTCACTACAAAGCGTAATGGTAAGACTAGCTACAAGGCAAGGCCTGCGTGTGACGTCATCGTTAGTAGATCCAGCTGTAGCGAGAAACTGCAGAACGCGCTGTCGGTGATGCTTACGCAAGCTATAGTCGACGCTGCTTCAATACACCAGCGGTGACGCTTGGGAGGGTGAAAGCCTCGTGTTTTATTTGGTAAGAGTAGGACTGGTTCAATAATCGCTCTTCTTCCGCTGGGCTGTGAAACGCGTGCAGAGTGCGCGCATTAATAGCTCTCTTCTATGGAAGCATGAGACACCGCGCAGGTGGACACAGTCCAGTGATTCGGTGTTATGTCTGCCCTGGTGATAAGCGCCGCGAAGGTGTTGTTCGCATTTCCAACGGCGTTTCACATTTCGGCCACCAGGTCGCGTCAGTTTTCGCTGCCTACCTGGGTAGGCGGTAACTCTTTGCATCTTTCGTCTTCTCCGGTGGCTGGCGTCGCCTCATGTTGAGTTCCCTCCACCTTAGATCGGACGTTTTTAGCTCATAGTAAAGCGTTTATCTTCCATGTCTCGTATATTAGGTCACCGTGGGTTGGGGTTAACTGTCAGTATTAAACAAATTTAAGCGGTCTCTACTTAAATTCTTAAATTGAAAAACTTTCGACGTAAAGGCGGTTGCCAATTTCTTTAGTAACCATAACCCAATCGGGTGTGATACTGGCGATGGGTGGCACTCAGTAGGTTGAACGACGTTTTAGTGACCGCCGACTTTTCAGCGAAAGACTCTTTAGCGAATGGTCGGCCGCCGCTAAGCGGTGTTCATGGGTGGGCCAGGTGGGTTAACATTCGGGAAGGAGAAAGGGGGGGGGGGGGGGGGGTGCGCATGGAGTTTGTACGCACGCGAGCAAAAGACGTGTACTGTGCCGATCCTCCTGTTCTATTGTCTCAATGTCCTAGGCTTCTTAATGATTCGTGAGCCGGAAGATCATGCTGCGTGCACCCTGGAGTGGTACCCAGACCGCCAGAAAGGCACGCGGTCGGCCATATACTTTTACTCCTCGCTAAGTCTATAGGCAGGCTTTTACTGCCGCTGGAGGTCCGCGTTTCAACGGGGAGTGTCACTAAGATGAATGGGTGCAAAGCGAGCGAGCGCTGACTTTATTTTCACGCAGTGCTAGTGCTAACGTGCACTTCTTCGTCAATGGGGCAATCGAAATCGAAACCATGTCACCTCTTTCCATGGCCAAAGAGGTCCCACAATGCAACACGCGCGGTGTTGCATGCAGGGATTTTTGCAATTAGCCTATGGCGCAGTGGATAGAATGTCCAGCTTAGGTATATTTTCCCGTTCGATTCCCATGGGTATTTCCTGTTCGACTCCCTTTGAGGCGCGATTAGCATTTCGTTTGCTTCTCAGTTTACTGCCCTTTTGTACATATGGTCCTCCGAAGCACGTGTTCCACATTTCGTAACTGTCTCCGTGGCGTCGTGTTGCACTTTCCTCACAAATCACAGTTCTTGATCACATTCCGCGTTAAAACACAGTCGAGATGACGGAAGCCGTTTTCCGATTTTGAGGGTCGTTTATGCAACCGTCCATCCATGGACCCGTGGTCGTGGAGCCTCGTTTCCCCATCCGGGCATGTTTGCGTCGGCCGGTGCGGTCGGCAACGATGGGCCCACGTCCCGCGCTAAGGCCACCGCCGGTGATGCCTCGCGCCCCGCGTCCCCGACCCTGCGAGCGGACCGATACAAACTAGAGGCCTATGAATGACGTCATCGCTAGTGGATCCCCGCCCCCAAGCGGCAAAAGCCCCGAAGCTCGAGGAGACACGCCGCAAAGACGCGTCCGTCTTGGCTCTCCTTGTGCCAGCGTCGCGATCGTAGCGAGATGCTACGAGACGCTGCGAGACGCGCTGGCGGTGATACTGACGCAAGTTCGGCGGGGCTGATGGGGTCCACTAGTGGTGACGTTTGGAGGGAAAGGCCTTGCCTTCTAGCGGTATTGAGCGGACGCTGCCGCAGTCGGGTCACGTCCGTCGGTGCCGAGCCCGACGTGTGCCCCGCGAGAGCCCTGACCGATCACCGGCGTCGGACGACGAGGACCCCGCGCGGAAGAGGTCGTCTCCGCTCGAAACGTGTGCGCCGCCGCCATTGTGTGTAGAACAACCGTCACCTTTCATCTGTCTGTCGCATTCGCGGGCGCCCAGATCGACGCCGTGACCGAAAGAGCATTACTGCGCGGTCATTAGCGAACCGTAAACACAGTCCCAAGCTCGGCGTCCCGTTATACGCGCTTCGTTTGTTTTAGAGTATAACACGGACATTTCTCGCGTAAAAAAAGACCCTTTACAAAATGGAATGCCATGTGGTCGCTCAAAAAGAGCAGTTTCACTTACGACAAATTGGTGGTAATAAAACTGTATTTTATCGGGCACCGTCATTCTCTCCCGTCAATTGCAGATAAGAATTGGTTCTTCGATAACGTCATAAATCTTTCTCGATTCTTTTCAGCTTCGATGGCGTGAATATAAAAACCGACTAGTACAAGGCGGCGTCCCACAAGCCCCTCGAATATATGTCCGCCATCAAAAGGCTTTAGAGCCAAACTTGCCCGCCAAGATGTTCATTAGATCCCACTCCGAAATAAACGCGTATGCAGCCGCTTATCTCATTCGTGCATCGTGTTGCACTAACTTCTCTAACGTACACACGTCTCATATATCCGACGCTTGGTAGTATCTTCAACTTCTTCCTTGATAAGCCTCGAGAGTGTCGCCATTAGTTTGGCGTAGATGTCATACATTGAGATGATGATAGTGATGAAAGTTACCAGACTGAATTTCTAAAAGGGCCTGTTAGTTTCGGTGTCGATCATGTGTCGGTCACCTCCAAACTCTCCCCTCTCCTTCCTCGCAGGTCTGGTTCCAGAACCGGCGGGCCAAATGGCGTAAGAAGGAAAACACCAAGAAGGGTCCCGGGCGACCCGCCCACAACGCCCACCCGCAGACTTGTTCGGGCGAGCCGATTCCTCCCGAAGAGATCGAGCGCCGCGAACGAGACCGGCGTGAGAAGAAGCTCCGCAAGCAGCTCGAGCGACAGACCAAGAGACTGCAGCAGGCCAGGCTCAAACCAGGAGTGAACCTTGCCAGCCTACGCGAAACGATCCAGCAGTCCCTCGCCGAGCTGTGGCTCGCCAACCCTTCCAAAGAACCGAGGTCCCTGGTTGGACCAGAGACGTTCAGAATCCTGGAGACCCTAGGTTTTGACGTCATCGACGTCCTTTCCAAGTCAACGTTCGACCCCGGACGTCATCAAGCTACGGGTGCTTCGAGGTCTTCGGCAGACGACAGTTCTTCGGACGTACCTCAGCACAGGTTCATGACGCTACTCTCTCCGCAAGGCAAAGCGTCCGCCTTCAGCATCGAGAGTCTCCTAGCCTCCAGGGGGGCGTCCAAGGAGATGCCCAAGGACGTCGGTTTCCGAAATCCGTTAACGACGTCATTTCCGCTGATGGTTCAGCAGCCAATGGGGTTCCTGGTGCGTCCCGACTCGTCCTCGCACCTTCAAGACCATCAGCATCAGCGAGAGCAGCAGCAGGACTGTAGTTCTTTGGACGAGGACGACTTTAGTGATCCGGACGTTGGTTCTGTGGAAGATGCCAGGGGACACGGGGACGTGAACGCTGTGTCCCGGGACATGGAGGACAGTGGGGAAGTCATCGACGGAACGGAGGACGTGTCCGATGACGAGTCTGTGTCTGTTCATATCGCTGTCGATGACGATGGAGTGGATGGAGACGACGAGGGAGATGTCTGATGGCGCTTGTTGTGGTTTGGTTGTTCTTCCTTTTCGAGTATTTATTGCGTGAAATTCAAGTTTCTTTGTTCTTTATTTCTAAAGAAGAGCTGGCGTCTCTGAGCGTTGCAATGAAGTGGTAGGGTGATTGTTTAGGAAATATGGTAGTCTAGATATACTTGTGAATTTGGAATTGAAGGTACTTTCGCTGCGACGCATGAGGCTGTGAGGCACGAGGTTTATTTCTTGGAAGCAAGGGTAATTGGCCTAACAAAAACGGTAAACTATGGGTGTTTTTGAGTAGAAAGACGCATGAGAGTTTTTGTCGATAGCGGAACAATGATCAAGCATGAGGAAATAAAGCAAAATATGCAAAACAAAACAACAAAGATTGATTGCTTAAAAAAAATTAAAAATCACTTTTTTTGCGTGAGTTGGTATTTGTAGAAAAGTCTCAAGCCTCTCCGCGAGGAAGGATTAGTCACCTAAACGAAGAAGCAAATGAACTTGTTCGACTTCGCCCCACGTTTGAATAAAAAACATTTAAATAAAATGGCGTTACAAATTAACCTTTAATAAGACGCAGACCAGACAGACCTATAGCGGAAAATACCCTCAAGTCATAAGGACTTTGTTTAATTCAATATAATTTTTTTACAATTACCAGAAGCAAAAGTAAACCAGCTGAGCTCAATTGGGAGTCCTCATATATTGATACGGTGGCTAGAATTTATAGGCTTGAACAGGCTTCCTCTTGTTGTGGTTTTTTTTTTTTTTCTCTGTAATCCACCGAAATATTTTCAGGGCTTCGCAGCATCACGTTTTGGCCGCCATGCATCGCGATAACCTGGCACCGCATACAAAAACAAAATCTGCATCAACTGTCCAGCCCCTTGTGGGCCTTTGAGAGCGCGAACATTGTATCAAAGGCCGCTTTAACACGGAGCTAAAACAATACAAAATGACCAGGGCACGATGTGGTAAATAGCTGCTACCGGTTTCCTCTCGTTCCGACATAGAAATCACTCACAACACCTAGCGGCCAAAACAGGAACCTACCGAAAGAGGTCGTAAAATGTTCCAAATAATGAAGCTGCATATTCTTCCGAATATTAAGTTTTCCCAGAAAAAAAGGTTTCAGGGAAGGAAGTTTGTCTCAAAATCAAAACGCAGTTGCATTTTTTTTAACGAGCAGTGTTGTTGCCCCTTGTGCTGGCGCGCATAACTAGGAGTGCTCAAGATGGAGTACTTTCTCGGAGAATACTTAGGCCGTTGTCCATACGGGTGAAGACAGTTAATTTGAGGTTCGCAGACCATCGGCTCGAGAATCCGCTGAAACGATCAAAACGTCCAAGCGAGTGGCTCAGTAGATTCGAATAATTTCCTCTAACGGGTGAAGTTCGAGAGACCAAGTAGATATGAGCGAGTGCCCAAAACTCGCTGGATTCTCGCACGTTATGATTTGCGTGCGTGAACAAAATATAGAAGTTTCGGTGAGTTTCTGGTTTGTTTGTTCAGCTCTTTTCTTTTCTATTTTATGTGTGTGAGTGAGAATTTAATAAACCGGAGGTATCAAAAATAAATAGGAAAACTTGCGAGTGAGTCTTTCTCTTGGTGTGACTGATTTCGTTTTATTTCAGTTATTTCATCGAAATGTGTTGTGTGAAAAAATTCCAATCGGTTTATATTGACATAATTGAACGAATTATCGTAACTTAAAACGGCAGATGAGGTGAACTGACACGACAGTATTGTCTTATTAATTCGAGTATTCAGCAATATCTATCGAATATTACAAAGAGAGAAACAAGCAGAGTGATGAACTTCCACTTTTCTGCAAGTAGGTGCGGAGTGATATCCATAAAGGCAGCAAGCGATACTACGCTTCACTACTATATTTAATGCAAGCATACCGGCGCGAGTGACTTAAGTAGACACTCATCTATAGACGCTTTACACACGCGCGAGATTAAAGCCGCCATTGCTGACCTCTGGTCGTACCGAGATGCCGAGCAACTCAAACGAGCATTGACGAGCCTCCACAAAAGCCAATGCTGTGGGGAAGAACACAGTACAATCTAGAACAGCAATAACCTCTCCTGCTGTAGTAATGATGAAGCTAATTAAACGAAATAAGAGGGACACAAATCATGAGCCATTACACTCTTTGAAGATGGACGACCAGCGAAGCTGTTTAGCAACGACACAGACGTGACACCGACATTTTGAACAAAGGCATGAAAACATCTATTGTCTTGATCGGTGGTCATCGTGACGAAAGGTACGCACACACATGTCGAGGAGTATCGCCGCCCCGGGGAGCCGGGGGAAACTAGACACGCGCGACGGAGCAGCCACCCGGCGGAAGGAAATGAAACTAGGCACTCAAGCGCTTGGAACGACGACCAAGAAAGCGCGGTGCGAGCACGCTTTGAGCTTTTGTTGACGCACACGATAAATCCGCGGAACCCTAGCCATAAACACCTCCGCTGTAAAACTGAAGTTCGGTTATGACGGCGCCCAGCGGCGCCCATGCACAGCTGCTGGAACTGCAAACAGGGCATCTGGCGGTCGCCATGTTCCTCTTCGTGTGCACGTGCAATGGCAGGCCTGCCAACGCTATTAGCGGCGAGATGTTTTGGTGGCGCCCTCCTATGGTTCCCCTTTGTGACGTCATTACGTTGCGAACAACAAGTTCGATGGTGTTTGTAAATAGCATAATGGAAGCCTGAAATCATTGCGCTCTCGCAGCAACACTGCCAACACCGTCGAAATTAAAGTTCTTTCATTCCTCTTATTTCCGTCGATGGTATACCCTTTCCGACGTCATAGTCAGCTTTTGGGCCAATCGTGGAAGGCCGACCACAGCGACGCTTTCGGTCGCGCACGTCGCCAATATTTGCACGAATTCTACACGTGCTTGCACGCACGGGGCACCAGTCGGGATGCCATGCTTGCAAACATCTATGCTCCATCTCACAAATGTCTGCAGTGAAGGCAAACGCACAGGCAAATGAGACTCGCTCAGCAGGGTGATTTGTTGAGCTAGAACTATCGCCACAACGACACTTTTGAAAACCACGCGCTCGTGGCTTTGAAAAGTCTTTGGACTGCAGATGTTTGTGAGATGAGAAGCTTTCTTTTCACGATGTAATTTCAGAGGGAGAAGCGGGGTTTCTCTTTCCGTTTCTTCTTCGCAAAGCTAGCTGTCATTGTCCATGAAACCAAGGTAGGTTGAAAAATTCGGTTGTGTGTATGTTTATAGAGCCTAGAACTTGGTCTGCCTCAATGTGCGACGAGTCTCTAAGCTGTAGATAAGAAATTGAGCCAGTGAAGTACAACCACTAGCCTGGGGTCTTTGAAGGAATGCTGAACCGAAATTTGAATTTCCCAAAACACGCGGCAAAAGCGTGCGACGGGATGCTACAAACACCAAAACATCACTCATACTGCGATATCTCGAACGGATGGCCGTATTTTCTGAACAAAGGAGGCGCATTTGACAGATATGTTAACGTCTTGTTTCCCCCAGAAGGAGAGGGTAGGGCCTCGCGCCTTCTCCGCCTTTCCGACTTGAGGGAGCGAAACGAAGAGAGGGGGAAATGAGATATTTTTACGTCACGCGCCTCGTCGGCCTCGTTTAATCTCGACCTTTTTTTTCCAAAAATACGGCCATCCATTCGAGATACCACCTTCCGAGTAGTGTTGTAGGGATTGCAGCGTCCCGCCTACATCTCCTGCATCATTTTGTTGAAATCCAAATTTCGGTTCACCATTCATTTAACGTGCAACGCGCAGTAGTGATACGCGATCGCACGCCGGTACGATGCTCATCCAGATCAAAACGGGTCGGGGTGGGATTCAACCCGGGATCCTGGGTTCTACAGCGCGAGCTTTCACTCCACGTGCTCCGAGATGGTGCGCGCTAGCCCACTAAGCTGTCGATTCCCCCGACCTATTCTAGTACACGCCCACACGGTGTTCAAAATCACAGCAGCAGCGCTGGAGGACCAAAAAACAGAGGTCACAAAGAAAATTCGAAAGTGACATGATTCCCCAGAGATGCCTGTGGAAGGGACTCTTAAGTATACTCTGTCGCCGATGCACGAGTTGAGAGGCGCCGAAAACTTAGATCTTTGCCATATTTTATAAGCGAAAACTCGCGCACGGAAGCTTAGAAACAGTTTTTTTTTTGTTTTTAGCTCTAGAAATGACCAAGACCAACTTTCACGATTATTTGGCCGAAGTTCGAAAATCGTTTCACCGCCCCGTTAATGACGGACGCCCCATGTGGCGATCGGTCGCAAGCACACATCCTCTGCGTTTTCGCTTGGCAAGGAGGAAAGCAGGAGGAAAGGCGGAGACATTTGCAGCCGATCAACGTATCGGTCACCTCTTGGCAGCTCGCATTGGAAAGCGGCCATAACCTCCTTTCTACTCCCAAAGCCCGGCACTTCAACGACGGAGCCATAAAGTGCCCGGCCGCAGACTTGAAGCGCGAGGATCTGGTAGCGTAGAGCATCAAAGAGCGGCTTCTCGGGGAACCTGGACATCAGCGCACAGCTTTTGCAGCGGCGAGGACCCAAAACACACTTGTTCGCTCGGGAGAAGTGTGTTTCGGCGCCTCGCCGCTGCGGGGCGCAGGTCACGTGGAACTCCTCTCCTCCGTTGTCTGCCACTCCACTTTTTCCGTTTCGGCGGCCGCTTCTCGTGGCGATCTGCCAGGCTTGGTCAGTATAGAGGAGGCTATGATGCGGTTCACAAACCACCTGACCCCGATCGAGCAGCTGGAAACTCTCTGTAAAGCAGGCTGTCTTGTCGCCGCCTGCTAACGTCGCGCTCGTTGCGAGACATCATCCGGGCATCTCGTTGCCAAAACGCTTCCCAGATTCAGAACGAATGTGCTGTTGGTTATGGGCCTTTACTCTGTATCAAATCGCCTTTGGTGTTGCTGTGCAAAGGTCGATTCCGCCCAAACGCCCGGTGATGTGCTTAGTGACGCATTACGCGATTACGGAAATTGTGTGAACCAACTTTCACGAAAGATGTTGTTTTGTTTTCCGCGTGATAAAAATCGCCGTCTTCAACGTCACACATGGACGGCAATGCGAACATGTCTTGTTGACGAAACGCAACTGT